GCCGCCAGAATATTTAACGCCCCTATTTTGATGTCTGCCAAATTGCACGGATATACCACTTGTGATAAATAATTACATTTATCCAAACTATGTAATACACTAAAATTAGAGACATATATTATCATAGTTATTGAATAACAATTTAACATCATGTTATTTCAACCTCTATTAATAAATTTGGAAGTTGCTTTTCTTAATCCCTCTTTTATTTCAAGATAATTAGACGATGTCATCAAACTAACATATCCTAATAATTTATTAATTTCAACAAAATCTTTTTCACGATAAGTGATTGATAAACATAGTCATAGTTTGATAAACTATAACACAAAAATAAATAAATAAAAAGCATGGAAAAAGCTTTTTCTAACCTTTTAGAACCACAAACATTTCCCCAAAAGCAGCTAATTAATTATTTATTATAGAAGTAACCTAACCTCTTCTTACGGGTGGCGTAATGTTCTCAAATTTATCCCACTCTATCTATTTTTTGATTTTATCTTTATTTTATCAATAACTTAACTACACAATTTAATACCAAAGATTCTCACTCACCGATATTTGTGATGTTTTTTTAAGCTGGAGGGAGTAGGGTCATTGAAACAGTATTTCCTTCACTCGCACAATCATTTTTTACCAAATAAGTGTGGTTTCTTGTTACACCCAAGGAGTGGTGTCACACTTTTCTTTATTTATTTTTTTTTTAGTTTTTTTAAATAATTTAATCTAATAAAAATTGTTTTTTAATAAAAAACACACAATTTTTCATTAATTGAAAATGAAAAACATTACATTGCATTACTAAAAACACACACACAAACATGACATTAGAAAAAAATCCTACAAACTTAAAAAACACACATCAAACAAATAAAATAACTTAAAAATACGCAAATAAAATAACTAAACTATACTACATAAAGTTGTTCTTCGAGAACTCGTCTTTCGAATCATCCATTAATCCAAATTAAGGTCAATGTGTTGAATCTCGTAAATGTGTTCCACCAAATGCGTACAAAGATTGTGAAATGTTTTTGTGCAACGTATATCTACTCTTCTGTTCTTATACTCGTCACCACCAATTGTATTGGTTGTGTCTTGGGTATGGTTTCTCCATCGTTATACGCACATATCGCTCTTCCTTCGTCTTCAATAATAATATTATGCAATACGAGACATGTATACATGATTTCTTGAAGTTTTTCCTCATTGAAACAAATTGTTGGTTTTTTCAATCTGAGCCAAAGAGCTCCAAAAGCACGCTCGACATCCTTCCTAGCTCTTTCTCGAGCTCTCTTGAATTTGTTTCGTCTAGAACCATTTGGACACGTAAATGATTCAACAAACACAACATACTCAAGATAGATCCCATCAACAAGATAATAATCATACTTATATGGTGTTCCATGCACTTCAAAAGAAGAGTCTAGTGCAGATTCGTCGTATATGTTGTTAAATATATGTGAACGATTAAGAACAATGATGTCGTTAATCGAACTGGGAGAACAAAAAAAAAAGCATGTCAAATCCACAGATCCTGTGATGCAACTGCTTCAAGTATGACCGTTGGGTGACCATGATCATCTCGGGTAAATTGCCCATGATATGAGGTAGGGCAATTTTTCCATGCCCAATGGAGACAATATAAACTTACTATCATTCCATTCCAGGAAACCCATGCACACTAGCATGATGACCTTGCAATTGTAAGATGTCATTACATGTAGGCTTACATAAATATTTTGGACCATAAAATTGAATCACAGTTTGGCAAAAATAATGGAGACTATCTCGTGCAGTCCTAAGACACATCCCAAAACTCTCGTCCAACACATCAGGCATAATGTCATATGCTAACTGACGAAGTGCGATCGTACCTTTTGTAAAGGAGTGAAACCGGATGTACCTCTAGCATCAAAACATTGTTGGAAAAAACTGCACTCCCTCGTTACATCTTCAACTATATGTTCGTATAAATGTTTGAACATTCTGAAACGACTACGAAAACAGTACCTTTGATAAGTGACTAGTCGGTGGACTGGGATCAAGGGATTAATCGGCTAGGCGGAGATTAACCGGGTACCATTAATTGCTAATTTGTTGAATTTAAAAAAATTAAATACGACTAGTATCATATTAAAGCCGACAAATACCACTAATATGATAACATAATATGTTAATATGATTAATACAACACTAATCATGCCTCAAATAGTTTCCATTGAGATAAAACTTCTTCAAAATGTTAAAATTTCATCGTTTTATAGTGTTTCATTCATTACGTATGTAGAGATTAATCGTTAGGCGCCCTCTAATCAGTCGAATAACGCCTTCGGATTAATCAGGACCTAGTAAGGATTTTTACAACAATGCGTGAAAGTAGTATTGTATCAAACGTTGGTTGGTTTCTTCACGATTTCTATAAATATATCTCCATGTTCCCGTTGAGAACTTTCGGTTACGTTTTTGCATAAAGCATCATATGTTTATTCCGTCATTTGAGCACAAGCAATAGTAGTATAAAAAAATAACTTGAAATTCTTTAGAAGATGAAGAAGATGACATTTTCTATTAATTTTAAAAAGAAATGTAAAAGCTTAGTTTTGGTTTAAAAATAATGAAATAGATAGTTTAATTTATAAGAAAGAAATAATTTTTTTTAAACATATTTGACCGTTTAACGGTCGTCATCACCATCAACCTATCAAAATACGCGGCCAAAAAAGGGTTAGGTGCGGCATAACCGCACTCGAAACCGCATAGGAGGGAGGGGTGTTCACATGCCTATGTGGCAAGAAGTGTAGTAGAAACCACGCCACTCCCTTAAGTCTTATTTAAAGTTAAAGGTTCAAGTCCCTTTAAGCATTGAGACATAGGTGGATTTAAGAATAGTTTATGAGTAGGTAAGATTTGTCGTTCAATAAAACCACATGGGCCTATTTAATTCATTAAGTCGAAGTTAAATAAAAAAATAAAACTTATAGTTAAATAAATTAAATTGACCTTAGGGGTGTTTGTTTTAGCTTTTTGCACCCAAAAGTCTTTTTAGGAAAAGAAAAAAAAGCAAAAGATGTTTGGCAAACTAATTTTAAAAGCTGCTTTTGGTGTTTTTATACAAGGAAAAGAAACTTTTTGGAAAAGTCAGGAAATTCTGACTTTTTGTAACTTTTCCAAAAAGGACTTTTGGGTTTTGAAAAGTTAAGCCAAACACCCCCTAGCTATTCATCTTTTACAACGGCGGGATCTTTATACATTTTCACTATTTTGTGGAAAAAGATTAAAAAATTACTATATTTGTCTTTTTCTCTTTTTATTTAGAGCGTTGCAACATGACACTTAGATGACGTTTGTTTTTAAAAAGAAGAAAGTCTACGGTAAGTGGATCACGTTTATAGAAGAACACATAGAAATATACATTTGTAGTATGTAAGAAAAATACTTTTTTGTTTTTTAAAATGTGCAGACTCCTCTAAAAATACTGAAATTTAAATAAATTTATTTTTTTAAAACTTTATATTTTTTATAATTCTATTTTTAAAACATTAAATTTAGTCCATATATTCACCATAAATCCATAATAAACTTTTTAAAAGCATTCTTTTCATATTTTACATTAATTACTCAACAATTTCATATTTTAAATGAAACACATATTTATAGTCCCCTCCACCACCATATGCTTCAACATTGGGCGTGTTTGGTATAGAGCTTTTGGAAGCGTTTAGGAGCTTCTAGCTTTTAGCTTTTGACAAAACGCTCTAGTTTAAACAAAAAGCTTCGTTTGGCAGTACGAGCGTTTAGCTTTTAGTTTTATCAAAACGCTCCGATTCTAAAAGCTACTTCATGTAGCTTTTAACAAAACGCTCCAGAGCTTTTGAAATCAATTTCCATAATTACCCTTAAAAATATATTTATATACTTTTTTATTTTTAATCAATTGTCCTTTTATGTAATTTTATATATTTCAAAAGCTTCCAGCTCCTTTTGCCAAACATTCATATAACAAATAAAAGCTACAGCTTCCCGCTACCAGCTACCAGCTACATGCTACCCACTACCCGCTACCAGCTAACCGCTACCCGCTTCCAGCTAACAGCTACTTTTGGCAAACACGCCCAATTGTCTTCATAATTATCAACGTGCACATGATTACTTCAAAGTGACATGTTACGTTGATCGTTATTGTTTTAATTACTATTCTTTATTAATAATGATATTAGTATTAGGAAATATATTTTTATGAATAGCAATGTTAATAATAAATTTTATTAAACTATATAATAATAATAATAATATTATGTTTATGTACTTATGCTAGTAAGTTTAATAACAATGAAATACTATATACTATTCGTAACTATTGAATTATTATTATATTGCAAAATTATGCTCAATTTTATATGTGGCTATTGATATATTTTGAATGACAATCCTAATTTGAGAGAACGTAGCACAATAAAGGTTTGTGTTTGTTATGATTTGATTGTTTATGTTATTTTTTTTTGCGCAATAGACCATTTAAATTTTATTGTAGCTGTCAGTTAAACCACCATGACCAATTTTAGAAGGTTTTCCGGTTAAAGATTCGACTTGGATTTTATTTTAAGATGAAATTGTTAATGAGATTTATAATTTATCCATGTCATTTTAAATGATATATTAACTTAACTCTCACTTAATATGTCTCATTCTACCTCAAGCCTCATTTGACAGCACAAGAAGTAAATGATGAGTCAATAGTTAGGGTTTTTTCATAGTCTCTTACGATCGGCGTATTAGTGTTGTCGATCGACTTTGAGAATAAAGCTCGTAAAAGAAATGACACAAGTGAATCGTGATGATGGCCTGTTTGTAATGGTGGAACTAAATTACGAAGGTGTGTTTACTCGTAATCCTTTCTCATACTTCGGGGTGTGAAAAGTTCCATCAATAATGTACATTTTTCTACTATGACATATTATGAGTGTGTAACTTACCTGGAATGTTTCATACATGCTGAAATGAAAAACCTTTACTACCGTGAACCCGAAAAATCTTTATGTGATGACATCCGACCAACTTCCTATGATGTAGATTATCCTTTTTTTATTTTTGATGCTTATGGTACAAATGGCATAATTTTAGTTTATGTTGACCATGTTGGGGATGGAAGTGAATGGTGGTTTGACGAGGAACAGAATGAAGATGATGGTGACGATTCTTGTTTTGATAGTGTGGAAAATGGAGATAACCAAAGGGATGTTGAAGTGGAAAATGATGAAGATTTTATTCCTATGAACAGAACATCCCAAGATCCTTTCTTGAGTAAATTATGTGTTGAAGGGGTGTACGATGAGGGATAAAACTTGTAGATGATGATGGGTGGAAATGCAAGAAGTTTGGTGTAAATATGAGTATAAGGAAAATATAGAAGAGCAAAGAAGTATGTACTGGAACTTATTGGAGGTAATCTTGTGGATCACTATGCAAATCTTTGGTCAAATGACTAAGAGGTACTAATAACAAATACAGGGTTTACTATGAAACTTGAAGTCACATGCCAAATAGGAAGAACTATTTCATAAAATGTTATGTGTTTTGATGGGGGTGAAAAAAAGGTTGTAGAAAGATAATTGGTCTTGATGGTCGTTTTTTTGAAAGGGATTTGTAAGGGTGAGATGTTATGTGATATTAGTAGGGATGCAAATGAAAATATATTTCCTATTGCATGGGCAGCGGTGTGTATGGAGAACAAGCAAAATTAGAAGTGGTATTTAGATCTTTTAATTAATGATCTTCATTTGAATTTAGGAAATGTTTACTCTTTAATGTTTGATCAACATAAGGTTAGTGTATTTATTATTGGATCTTTTAATTGATGATATTATTTGTTTTAACATTTAATATAACTTTGGTGTGTAGGGATTAACTGAAGCTATAAAGGAAATGATGCCTTTTGTAGAGCATATACAGTGTGCTAGACACATTTGTTAGAATCTAATTAAGAGATATAATGGTGCCCACTATTAAAACTATTTTGGAGAGCATCAAAAGCTTCAAATGAGAATGAATTTATAGCTGCAACGAATGAAATGGAACAGTTGAACCCAAATGCACATAAATACCTTATGGATAATGATCTAAAAATTTGGTCAATAGCATTCCTCCAACCATGTAGATGTTGTGACTCAATTGAGAATGATATGTATGAGATTTTTAATGCTCTCATTGTAGATGCCAGAAAGAAGCTCATAAGCAATGTTAGAAGAGTTGAGATTATACATGATGGAGAGATTGTACAATATGAAGCTTGGAGGTCAATAATTGGGAGATCAAATTTTTCCTGAAATAAGGGATATGGTGAATGAGCTTAAAACACATGATATATTTTGAGGTTCTACCTAGTGGGTTAAACCAACTTAAGGTTAGGGGCACAAGTGAGGCATATGATGTTGCCATATATAGGAGGACATGTTTTTGTAGGTTGTAAAAACTGAATGGTATGGTTGTGTGCATTCTATAACATGTATTTCATATCTAAATAGGGATATGGAAGCATATATGGATGTGATGCTTAGTACCACCACACATATGAAATGTTACAAATATAGAATTACAGCAATAAGTGGGTGTGATATGTGGCCACAAATAGAATACATGCTAATTTTGTCTCTTGTTAACAGAAGAATGCATGGCAGATCGGCCATTAAAAGGAACAAGGATGTTGTTAAAAAACTTGTTATCTATAAAGTATGTAAGGATGGAAAGAAAGTCAAGTGTATCATCTACAAGGATATAGGTCACAACAAGTCTACTTGCCCTATAAGCGGACCACACCATTTTAATATAAGGAGGTTAAAAGAAAAGATTAATGGCAATGCAAATAATGGAATAAGTGCCAATCATCTACAAGGTTATAGGTGACAACAAGTCTACTTGCCCTATAAGCGGACCACACCATTTTAATATAAGGAGGAAAAAAGAAAAGATTAGTGGCAATGCAAATAATGGAATAAGTGCCAATCAAGCAGGAGAACATGTACTATCCTTAAGTCACTTGTACTTTATTTTTCATTTAACACAATATAAATGTAACATTACTAATAGGTTAATGCACATGGATCAGTAAGGCAAGAATATGAAGAGGTGAAAATCATTCCAGTTGAGGTGCAAGTTACTCCAAATGATCATGAAAATCATGAACTACAAGTTGGTGGTGGTAATGCACAAGTTAAACAAGGTAGTGGTAATGGACACGTTAATGAAGTTGGTGGTAATCCACAAGGTGAAGAGGGTAATGGTAATGCACAAGTTTAAGTACAAAAGGAGATATGTGTAAAACCAAATTTTGAAATATTGAAGGGAATCATGAAAAGAAAATCAAAAATAATTTTGAACGTGAAATTGGGTAAGAAAGTTAAGGGTGATGATGATCCAGGAAATTCAAAGGAGAAAGCACTTAATATAGATTAAGCTTAATATCTTTGATGCTTTTATGTGTGTAATATAGAAAATATTAAATTATCCTTGTAATCCTATTTCATTATGCTATGTTTTGAACAAATACAATGTATACAGTTTGATGATGTAATATTTTGATACAATTAGAAAAATAACCATTAACATGGGAGTATTTGGTATTAATGAAAATGGTGTATGAGGTTTATGAAAGCTTGTTAGTATTTATGAAAGGTTTCAATGTACATGGTGCATTTTTGCTATGTATGAAAGATGTTGTATTTTAAACAAGTACAAACTATAAACATTGGTTGCTATTTATGAAATATGTCAATGTACATGTTTCATGGTTGTCACACCCAAAACCGAAACGACGGAAACGTTCGAGGGCGGAGGACGTCATGATTAGTATCACAAGACATGTATCATAGTAATCAAAGTAATAAACAACCATTTCATTAGAAAGAAAATGTTTACAATGTGTGTGTTCACAAAACAAAGAATACATAAGCAAATAACAAAACAAGACTTGAAGCTATTATGCTCCATCTTCTGAATTCCCAGTGCGAGTACCCATCTACTAGTTTCTTGAGAATACAAGTTATTTTGAAAGAGTTGACCAACAATTAAGCTGGTGAGTTCATAAGATTTCAGTGATGTAAGTAAGTTGTAAGAAAGTTGTAGTAAATTGTAAGTTATGTTTAAAAAAGTTCGCTTGTTCCTCCAGAAAATCCTATATTTCTTACTTTGATGAAAGATAAGTAAAAATGACTCTACAACCCTTTCTATGAGTACTAAATAGATACAAGTTATATAAAACTCAAAGTAAACAAACAATCGATTGTGTGTATCTGCCCTAAACCCACAACAAAACAAGGAACATGTAATAAGGCGGATGGCACACATCCCATTGGTTGTTAGTTAATTGTTGTATATAACCATGTGTAACGCCCGTAGATCCGGGCTAGTCAATTCAGAGGCAATAGGGGTCGAAAACGACTTTTTGACAAAAGATTATTTAGAATAAATAATCTTAACCAAGTTGTAGAATAGGTCACAAGGTTTCCGTACATATAAAGAACGCCGAAATCTGAATTATAACGAAGAAGTTATGGCCCGTCGAAGTTTCGCGACGGAACCGACACGGCATCGGGAAGCGTAAATAGTTAATTTACGATGGAGGACTTTTTAGCCTTAGTGATCTAAACGAAAGTCGTAGAATATGTTAAACCGAGAAAATCCATGAAAAGAACGCCCAAATCTGACTTTGTATGGAGAAGTTATGATTTTTCTAAGATTCGGCTTAACAATGCACGACCCGAAACTTGAATTTTAGTTCGAGCGGTTTTTGACTTACGCGAACTACATGAGAGTTGAAGGTCTCATTAATAGGAACTCAATGGTAAAAAGATGGATTAAAACGGAGTTCGTATGAAGGAGTTACGAATTCTTCGCGGTCATTAAACAGTCTAAACGCCTCCTACTGTTAAATTTGAGATCGGTCGAGAATTAGCCGATGGAGTCTAAATGAAAGTTGTAGATTCTGATTTTACCTACGCGTGGATATAAAGAACATCAAAAATGGAGCTCGTATGCGAGAGTTATGATTTTTCTAAGTTTCAAAACTGATACGCGATAGGGGGTGACGTGGCACCACCAGAGGAGGACACGTGGTACCACCAGAAGGGTGCCACATGCACCAACTTGGAAAGTCGTGACTCAGACTCGGCGAGTCCACCAGTCAGGCCTCTTATAGATAGAGGTGTCGTGCATTCACTTCTCTTCACACCTTTCCAACATTCTTTCTCTCTCTAGTTTCTCTCTTTAGCCTCCCAAACCCCCCCCCCCCCCCCCCTAAAGCCTAGGTAAACCCCCTAGCACCCGAAGGAATCCCCGAGGCTCCTAGAGTCCCGAGAAAAAAGGGTCTTTCGGCTCGGAAACGTTGCTCCAACGAAGCCCGGTTTTCGAGAAAACCCGCTGTAAGTGAGCTACGCCTACCATATCTTTAGCATAACTTATGTTTCATTATAGTAATGTTATTAGGACCTTAAAATAATTATTTGGGCTATTATTGTGAGTTATAATGAGTGTTATTTAACGCTTATATAATAATAATCATAGCTAGACTATTAATTTGTCGCAGTTATCGTTAGACTAAACCATAGTGGTATTGATACTAGGTTTTATCGAAAGAAAATTGTTTTGAGAGTATCGAAGCGTTGTCCGAGTGCTAAGTCACCACCTTTCAAGTGAGTGCATGGTCCCTTTCAGCTTATACATAGATATGAAGTATTTTATATAAATTACGTGCTATGTGTGCATATTATCTGAATACTTGCTATCTATGCTGGGTGAACGATTTTATACATGTTTTAAATGATTTAAACTGTATATGTATTTTATATCTACAAATATGTTGGGATAAAATATGGGTAGATGAAATAGTTTCTGTGTGACAAAAAAAATGATGAAGAGGTAATATAGACCATGAGGTAAGGGTGAGAGGTGAACCATGAGAGAAGCCTTTTTCCCAAGTGATGGCCCCATCATTTAGCAGATTATGGATGACAACCACAGACTATTCTACACAGTCCAGTGGACACTAGCAGGCTCGCAACCTGTAGGTCTTTTTGAACTGTGTATTCACCAGTTGTACTCTAAAAACCCATCGAGATGTATTGCGAGTGGATTCTCGGAAACGATACCGTCGATAAACGAGATAAAACCCATTGACATGTATTGCGAGAGGAGTCTCAGAAACGATACCGTCGATAAACAAGATAAAACTTATTGACATTTATTGCAAGAGGAGTCTCGGAAACGATATTGTCAATAAACAAGATAAACCTTGGGAACTATGGATTTAGTGCCCGTTGAGTAAACCTTGGCAACGATGGATTCCGTG